TTTTGAAAGTTTATTATTATTTGAATAAGTATGCGCTAATTGATAGCTAAGAAGAATATAATGTAAAATAAATAAACTTTCTGAAACAAAATTTGAAAACGGGGGAAAGTTTTTTTCGTTTATCTCAGAAACATAAAATGTGGACTTGCCTCTTTCTTGCAGCAATGTCTTCAATTATACTTAGTATACATTTTACTAGCAAAATGAATGGTAAAATTTCAAAAAACTCTCATAAAGTTCTTGAAAATGCCACGCTGTCCCACGATTACGTAATTTTTAGGGCAAATCCCAAGAGAAAACTCCCTCCGTGTATAAAAATACGTACTGAGAGATAATCACAGTTTTATTCAAACGGTTGGTCGATCAGTATTGCTATATATAGAAGAAAGGTAATTATGATATTTATAAAGTGATTTAAAGTGTATTAAAATCAATTGTGACATATACAATTTTGTTAGGTCCATGTAAGATATATGTAGGTTAAGTTTAATTACAATCCGTTCGCCATAAAAGAAACCAATCAGTATGTCTTTTCTTGTAGACTGAAAGTCGCTCGCAGTATAATTGCAACATGCGCTGCATGTAATAAAACGTACACGTTGAATATAGGCCATTTTTTTAATTTATATAAATGATGTAAATGATATAAATGATATAAATGATGTAGATATAACATCTTTACTATATTATTCTATCAGCGCGTAAAAAGTATTACGCAACAACGGGAACAATTCTCTTGCGGTATTTTGCGGCTGACTTTTTGACGAATTCTCACTTTTCGTACGCTTCCTGACCACTGTTTCGCACGCTCTCCGATTGAATTTCACGCGATTACGTACGCGGAATATCAATCTAAATTCACGTAATTCATCCGGGTAAGATTGTCGTTTCCGCAAGAAGACAATAAATTGGCATGTTACTTAGTTAATGAGCCATGATCCATTCAATAATTACGAAAAGCAATTTCTCTATTCCATTTACAAGATATTTATTTAATTCCGTGAAAGGAGTAGATCGTTAATTCGCGTTAAATGTACTCTCTAAAAGTCAATCAGTGGATTATCACCGAAAACAGTGAACATTCACTGATTCACAGTTATAAATATAGCACTGAATTATTCGGTGCTATAAGTAACTTATAACTGTTTTCAGCGACAATGCACTGATTGACTTTTAGAGAGTACCTTCATGGGCGTATCCAGAGGGGGGCGGGGGGGGGGCAGCTGCCCCCCTAGACTCAATGGGATCCCCATTGAGATTACGAATAATATAATTAATAGATTTGCCGAGGACTCCAGAAAATTAATTTTTATATAAATAAAAAATTTTTTTTATAAGTACGTAGTTTAATTTATGCTGCATAATTCACCTACGAGTGAATCCTGTTCTGCCCCCCCCCCCCCTAGACAAAAGTCTGGATACGCCCATGAGTACCTTCGTGCAAAAAATTAATGTAGCATGCATGCATATATTTTTTCTCTTTTTTTTTCTTAAAGACAACTCCGGATAGGAAATATTCACACACACGTACACATCGTAAATAAATGGAGAACTTCAGAACTAAATATTAACTCTGCACTCTATAAGAGTCGGTCAGTGAATTATCACTGAAAACAGTGAATAGTCACTGATTTGCAGTTATAAGTATACTACTGAAAATTGCAGTGGTAATACTTTATAACTGTAAATCAGTGATAATCCACTGATTGGCTTTTAGATAGTATTCAATTGAAACAGAAGCTGGAATACTAATGTATATTTCTTTTAAACCATTTTGACAGAGCAGACCAACAGATAAGCACACACGTATCTTCGATTATATATGTAAATCATTATAGCAAACGCAAAACGACTTCTATTGTAACAGTAAGTTACATTAAAAGAACATATGTTGACAAATTATAAGTCAATTGGAAGTCGCCGCAGTGCAAGTAATTCCCATTAAAGGCGATTGAATACTCGTTATCGTCTAAAATTACCGAATACGAGAGAACCGGTTTATCGGGTTGGATTGCTATCCGTGAGTCACATGCGAGATGCTTGAGATGACCAAAAAACAGAAAGGAATCTGAATAGCTTTAAATCGAACGAGTAATCTTATCTAATCATTATGTGGAACGAGAAGCACTTTCATCGCCGGCGAGCCACAAGGCGAGCGCAAATACCTGTCAGCCATTTCCAACGTGCCAATTTGTACCGCAAATTAATGTAATTTCACGACCAGCTTTAGTGAATGGAGCACGGATGTACGGCAATAATTAATCTCGGAGTGGATGCTTTAGTAAAGAGTTCAAGGTGGTGGAAACCCTACAACTATGCAATCTTATTTGATCCTTTCAAAAACGTCATTCCTTTGTTACATTAAGATACAATTTCCGTAAATAATGTATCCTAGGGGAGGGCAAATGTAATCAACCGGTCTGAGCAATATACATTTGAAGTTCGAATTTAAACGTGTATTGCAGAAAATTGATCAAACAGCGAAGATTCTGCGAGGAAGAAAATCTCCTTCCTTATAAAAGTCAAAAGAGTCAGATGCAACGTCGTCGCGTCCGCTAGCGTGAATACGGCATGCACGAAATGTATTTCGTTGCCGCACAATTTTGTATGTGTGTCAATTGCACGTTTACATATGTAAATGTGTCGCAAAGCGTGAGAATACAAAATGTAAAACTGGCTTTTCATGGATGGCGGCTCTCAACGCGTCTCTTATGTTAAAAGAATGGGCAGCGATTACGGAAGAACTTCGACTTTTGTATCTCGGTTTCTCCGCTTCGCTCGAGAATACATTGAATGCATCATGCTTAAACAAGAACGCGCGTGTGGTGCAACAGATATTATCAAGTTACCAAGCGAAAAAAGTGTTCACAGAACGTTTCTACCGAAAAAAAAGTTGCGATTTTCCATCGTAGTTATCGTCATTTGTAATTTTTTACCGAATCGTATTACCCAGCTGCCGACACGTTGAAACATATCACGTTGTATTAAATATTTGACAAGCATATTCCCTTTATCGAACATTACAATTCCATCCAGGCTTACAAGGCAATCCGGTCGGCCCAAATAGTTACGTTAATCTGGTATCCAATAATCCCCTCAACGGATATCGAAACGAATGCCCTAATTACTGGTTTCATATTAATTAACATTCAGACTATTATTATTGCAATATAAAATTTAAAAAATGTGATTATATTGATAAGAATGCCAAAGATAATATCTCGTCAAAAATTTTTACTAATATTCGTTTCTATCTATATATCTGATTTGTCTAACAATAAGAAGTTTAACCTTTCATTATCCAGTATTGTATCTTTTAAAAAAGACATATGAATAATATGTGACTATGCACATATACACACTGTACATTAAATTCCGCATAAATAGCATGAACGTTTACTCTGTAGGAGATATGCGGAAACTGTCGGAGCTAAATGCATGATTGATTGCTTCAATTAACGTTTCGTATTCAATGATATACGACTTCGTTTGCCAATTTTGCGTTAGTTGCTCGAGAATGTGCTCATATTCATTATCATTGTGATCATTTTTATAACAAAGCGTTACACGGGAGGGGGAGAAAAGCATTTTGGATTAATTAAAGGCCATTTTTTGGTCGCTTTAATATGATTTTCCCGTGCACGAGTGAATCCCCAATCAATCGCATTTGTACCAATTCAAATGCAAATTTGTGATTTGAGACTACGTCAGGCAGCCTTTTGTTCGAATGCGTCCCTTCGAGACAGATAATCGTGTGTGCTGGATTGTTGCAGATTCGCGATAATGCGGACGCGATCCGCGATAATCGGATTACTGCTGCTGTTGGTAACGGCGCACTGTAACGGGCTGCAGTATCAGTCTCTGGACCCTTATGCAAACGGAGAGGAGTGCGCGTTGATCCTGGATGCCCGTGGAAGAACCAGCGTTTACGACTACACCTATAATTTACTTCGCGGATCGTTGTAAGTGCCCACATTAAGACCGAAATACGAGTACGCGCGACGATAGCGATCTTAATTTAGGGGAAAGCCAACGCGAAATCAAGAACGGGAATTGTTCCTCTCAAGTGACTGATATAAGCTTGCGCAACTAAAATCACTGCCTGTGAATTTTCACATCCCAGCAGGTAGACGAATTTTTGTGTTATTCATCAAGAGAGTATCTTATAGAGATGCTAGCTTTGCTTTCTGTGCAAAGAATTGAATCGAATTTCTTAATTAAATCACTTCAATTGATTTGGAAATTACAAGTTTATCAGATAATACGATAAATACTGTAAACAAATTGGCGACGCAACTTGAATATTTTTTTATCGGGGTATAAACGCATGAATACGAAATAAGAAAATGTTACATAAGAAGCGTGATTAAAGATAAGTGTATCAAGATCTCTACACCGAGCATTTACTACCGTAAAGTTTCTATCGGTATATCATAAATTTAATTATTACCTAAGATTGCCGATTATTGATAGTCTTCGATTACACTGTAAAAAAATTACATGTAAAGTTACAATTATTGTGGTGGATAATTAATATTGGGACCATCTATTAAAGGTGTATATTCACATACGTCAGTAAATGTACACCTTGTAGGCAAAATTATTACCTTATATAATAACTGCTTGCCTTTAATTGTGTAAATTTTACAATTTTTTGCAATTTTTCATCACGCATAAACAAGTATTTACACGACAAAGAGTAAAAAAAATGTTTTTCGTAAAAGCAAATAAAATTATATATATTTCCATTATTAATAGTGTAATTGCTACACTTATTAGGTACGCAATTTTACATCCTTTTTACAGTGTATCGCTCAAGCAAAATGCTGTCTTTTACTGCACTGTCGACTGCAAGAGTGCAGAGACGGATAAAAATTATATCTTATCAGATAGGACCTCTATTCTATGACACGTTATAACGACTAGGAAATGCACGATTACAAATTGCACTTGCTAACTGCATGGAAGTGCAGTACCCTTACATAACAAAGTGAGTCCTCGGCATTCTAGAGGATTAGAGAAAGCGAGAACTTTGGCCGTGCGGCCAGGACTTTCACTATCCTTCGCCATCCTCCCGCAGGAGGTTCCCGCAGGACCAACGGGTTTTACCCGCGGATTTAACCAACAGACCTTACTAGTTTCGCTGTACGATCGCACGTACATTTTACTAAATGTATTCAACGTGAATTGTTCCGCGTATGTGTGTGTGCGTAAGATAATTCCACATAGATTGTCGTCGCATTCGCGGCGATCGTAAAATTCGAATGTTCCCTATCGAGCTTTTAAAAGCGGCCATTCCCAGCTAGAATCGGCATTTATGGCATTCGGCCGTAAACGCGTCACGCAACGAGAGTGACCGTTACGTATCGCGTGCTGTTTCATTCATCGCCCCGTGTGGAGAATTGTACGAAGAGCCGCAGTAATAATCCCCGCGTCCAAGCGCGTAACCGCGCTGAAACCCGTGATTAACTGCCGTTCTTCGCGTCAGGCAACCGACGAAACGGTGGCGTTTATCGCTCGAGTGTCCGCGTGAAGTGTCCTTAAGAATTGAATTCAGCTGGGCGTCCGAGACGTTGGAGAAACGCGATTATGAAGGTGGCTACGATCGCAACTTGTTCGTAGAATAGAAAATTGAGGGGAAGAGGAGTTTTCGGACGGCATTCGGGTGCCGAAACATAGATAGCATAATGTTTCCGATATCAAATGCTAGCAAACAGCACAATAGACGACACAATAGATGCATAGCGAGATGCTAACATTTTAACAATATGAAAGCAATAATTAAGCTTTCAGTCGACCATAACTGGTGTTTTTAACACAGAAAATTTATTGCGAAAATTATTACCTTAGCCAGGGTTTGAACCTGAACTTCCCTACCTCAGTAATCGAATTGGTGAGACGCCCGCCTAGAGAGTAGGGAAGTCCAGGTTCAAACCCTGGCTGAGGTAATAAATTTTCTGTGTTAAAAACACGTTACCAGTTATGGTCGATTGAAAGCTTAATCATTGTTGGCCATATACTGGCGTCAAATAATATGAAAGCAACTCGCACTGGCTATCTGGCTATCAGCCATAGACTGCTTACAGTGGAAGCATCCTCCTGAGAGAAAAGGATAGTACAAATTTATTTGGGTGGTCTATCTTTTTCTGACTCTCGTGACTCACGCTAGTAGGCGTTTTTAACAAGAAAAAGGTAGACACCCAAATGAACTAATACTATCCTTTTTCCTCAGGAGGATGCCTTCACTTGAGGCTCCACTGCCTCACGCAGCCTACGATTAATACGTCTATGACGACAAACGAGCGCTGGTCTCGCGATAATTAATCATTGATTGCGATTTTTAAAACAAAGTTACGAGATTCGACCTCTCTGGAACGTGTCCGGCTAGTATACAGGGTGAGTCTTTCCATATCCGACAAAATTTTTGAGAAGGTAGAACGGATCGAGATGAACGGAAAAGTCCTGTACCATTTTGCAATTTTCGTAATAGTTAACGAGTAATTAATTATTAAAAATCGTTGTCTTAGGCTGGCCTACCGCCCAATTCGAGCGCGTGGCGAGATGTGCGCATAGCAATATCGATTGCCGGG